TATGGCCACGACAGCCTTCCCAACATACCCCCCTCCTTGATACATCCGTATCAAAGAATGAGTAAAATGAGAAAAGAGATCGAACTGACTAAAGATGGCGATAAGTCCATGTAAAACGTGCGTACGGACTGTCAGCCTTTCACAACCGGACATAGCCGTACAACTGACCTGGTTACCTGCTTGCCTCCGACCTGGAGCTTAGCGACACGCACTCTGCCGTCAGAACCAGGGTAGACCTCCAACACCCGTCCAAGAGGCCACCTGCCACTGGGGGTATCAGCTGACACAACGAGGACGATGTCACCTCATTGCGGTTTCTCGACTGTAGTTGTCCGGAGGTGGTCTCTTGATCCACGGCTCCGAAACCTGGTATCTTCCGTTCTTGTAGGTCATCGACTGGACCGTCTGATCAAAAACGGCTTGATCATCTGCACAGAATTCGTACAACTGGGGAAGTTTCTCCACCTCCCACATCCTTCTCACCAGTGCATTCAGGTCAACGTCCTTTCCAAAGTACGTGCGGGTGAAATTTGTCATCTGTTCAGGCCTGGTGCTCCTGCCAACGCATGTCCACCCGAGTGGCGTTCTGCTTGCGAATGGCTCATGAGCCTCACCATAGACTTCCTCCATGCACCTGTGGAGACTAGCGTGGTCAAGGCCGATCAGCGCCTCTACTCGCTTCTTCTGGCATTGCGGAAACTCGATGCCGTTGAGGTGCGGATACCGTGTCTGATCTACTGACCAATCGTGAGGTGTAAGGTCACCGGTGACATTCTTGGCAGTCAGAGCAGAGAACTGTGTGATAAATCTGCCATCCAGACTCTCGATGTGGTAGTCGACTGGCATGGTCTCTAGGGTCTCGATGCGGCCGTTCAGCGTGCTCACTGACACTTCTTGTGTGGGAGCGCTAAGCTCTAGCTGTGCCGCAACATCGCAATTAAGGTAAGACTGCGTGCTGCCGTCGTCCAGCAGCGCGTTGACCTTGACATTCTTGTCGCCGTGGCGAAGTATGACGGGAACGGTTCGCAGTGCGACAGCTCTAACGCTGACACTACTCATATGTGTGGCCATGGAACTGGTGTCACCCCCCTCCGTGGAGGCGCTAGACTGGAGCACTGGCTTCTGTGAGGCTCCATTCGAGTCTGTAGTAGCACTAGACTTTCCGTGCAGCAACGCGTTGTGGGTCTCTGTCTGCACCACCGGGCTGCGACCTGGGACAGTTATTTCCCAAATGACCAGAGTTTTAAGGCAACGGTAGCAAAGCTTGAGCGTCCGGGCCTTCTGCCAACGCTCTGCAATTGACAGCTTCCGATACTCTAGGCATTTCCAAACGGGATGGACCTTCGTGCAGATTGGGCAACTGCTGCTGCTCTGGGCCTTTTTGGGCTTGTCAGCGAAGAATGCCTGATGCTTCACTCCACCATGACTGGCCTGGCCCTTCAGTGGGTGACTCTTTGCTGTTTGAGTGGATCCTACTGGAGTTGCCGTGGAGATACCTTGGATCGTCTCCTGGGCTTGTACTTGGAACTCACTTTCCAGCTCCACCCATTGCAGAAGCGCTTCGACAGATTCAGAGGTGCTTGCCTGGTGTATCCACTTCTGGTAGCTCAGCAGAAGAGACACCCCCAGTTTCTGTGTTAGCCGGACATAAAATGTCCCGTTAGCCAACTCCTGTGTCTGACCACTAGCCTTCAAATTCACCACCGCGACATCGAGTAGCTCCGCAAAACGCTCCAACTCCTCGGCGTTTGCAGATCTCATCGCTGGGAACTTCTCAAGGGCTTCTAGATGCACTGCAACTAGACGTCGCTGACCACCGAACTTGCGTTCCAGCCTACGTCGTGCTGCCTCATACGCCTCGGCCGAGTAGCCAAGAGTGTCGATAGATCGTAGTGCATCGCCCGCGAGGTATTTTCGGAGCTGCAATAACTTCAGCCCATCCGGAAAGTTAGCGCAGCCAATGCACATCTCAAACGCCGCCTGCTACTCATATTGCCGCTTGTCGCCCTTGAATGTTGGAATTGACACTTTCTCTAAATGTCGGTACAACTCGATTCTACCAGAACTACTCGCTTGCACTGGTAGACCACTCGGCGAAGTCATGGCTACTGGAAGACTGCTTGGCTGCACAAGACCATAATCTTCATGGTGCGACGCGTGACCCGGCTGACCAACTGGTATTTGTTGCATGACCGGTTGGGTCGCTGGTGGTGTAGACATTATTCCAGACTGATTCGGCAAGACGTGCGTCGGGAAGTCGGGCGCCGGCAAGAAACCCGGTGGTGTTCCAAATGAGAATGGATGTCCAGAATGGGTCGGCGGTGGAACTGGCGTACAAATTTGCTGATCCCGGCACAAATGCAGGTGTAGAAGCCGAGAGAGTATGACTTGCAACTGCACGAGGCTGCACAGCTGGAGTTGGTTGCGTCCCACGAGGAGGCTGCACTGCAGGAGTTGGTTGCGTCTGGGCTGACTGCATGAGTATGGTCGTGGCCGACAATGCTCTGGGTGGTACACTGACCCCACTTGAACTACGGTTAGGGGCAGTGATTACGTTTCTTGCCGAAGCTGCCGACGTAGATACCGGTGCCTGCTGCGCGCCAGACTGAGCAATGCCACGTGCCTGGTTACTCCCTGCAGACTGATGACCAATGTTCAGTGGTGTTGCCATGGTTTCGGCGCTTGCCATGGCAACCGGGTGAACTTTTGACAAGAGCTCCGCCGTAAACGGTAATGTAGGTACAGACGACAAAGAGACTGGAAAGGACACCTTAATCGTGCGTGACTTGTCTGTACTCACATTGGTTGCCATGGTTGCACTTGACGACGACACAATTGGCTGGCTCTCTCTGACGCTTGCTGTGTCAGCCCCAGGCGGTTCGTCCTGTCTATCACGATGGTCACCACTTGGAGTTCCCAGGGGGAGTACCGGTGCATTTGCTCCCAGACGTGCTCCCGAGGAAACGGCAGGCGGCTGAGGAGTCCCCTCAACAGTCGCACTCTGGCTGACACTGGATGCAGACACATTCCCAAAACGACTGAGACTCTTCTCAGCACACATGTTCTGTTTTTCCTCAAGGGCCTTGCTAGGAGAGTGTGGCGGGGTCAACATCCTCCCACTTGCTCTGGGATTCTCCAAGATCTACGTCAACATTGCCTTTACTAATCTTATGTTCTTGGCTCTGGTGATGGAAGCTGGCAAACTTTCACCCGTTCTGGCTCGACTTGGCCTCTTGCTTATTTCTGCCAGCATGTCGCTGGTCTTGCTGACAGCATCGCTGTAGTCGACGTTGATGACCTCTATCTCCTCGTGCACTTTTTCTGTGGGTAGTCCTAATTCTGCGTACCGAGTTACCAGTTTTAGACACACATCCACAGCGTTGTGAACACTCTCAGTCATGTCATCTAACAACCTCTTGATCTCTTTCGAGGTCGCATCCTCTTCGTAGATCCTGCTGAGCAACAAGTTTCGATTTCGTGTGACATGGAACTTAGCCTTGGCCTTCGCTTTCTTGCACTCCTCAAGATCCATGTTGTCCAGCGAAAACCCGAAATGCTACTCGCTACCACACTGCGCTTGGTGAATGAACCACTACTCGAAAACCACCCTCTGCTACCGATTTGTCATGCAGGGTCACACACGCAACGGGAAAACTTCGTGGTAGTAAAATAGATATTTCGCAAACAACAAAAATACAACCCTTTTTGGTACAAACCCAGTTTACGTAAACCACGATCTAACTATGCAACAGAGAGAGGCCCGTCGAAGTCTCCTGCCGAAGTACAAGCAGCTCCGTTCATCCTCTGCTACCATCCTCTGCTACCAATTTGTCATGCATGGGTCACACACGCAACGGGAAGATTTCGTGGTAGTAAAATAGATATTTTGCAAATAACAAAAAGACAACCCTTTCTCTCTTCCTTTCGAAGAGCCGAACTACTTACTTGCCGAGCCTCATCCAAAGCAAACTCTGAAAAAGCCCTACACTAGTACGGGATTCAGCGCAGAGCAAAAAATAATTACTTCAAGTATGAGTCATGATACAATGCATGCAGTGTAGCCGTGAAAACTGGTGAATAAAGAATGCAGTAGGTTGGCAGCACGTGACCCGTCGTACCGCAGTACGTGACGGCGTCGCGGCTTAGAAATGAAAGGAAACACTGCGAGAAAAGACTAAACGAAAATACATGGCTACCCAGGCCAAATGAATAATACATGAACCCAACAGTTGAAACTATCATCACTATACATCTGACGGCACTCCTTCACTGATGACCATCAAAGAAAAACGTTTCTGAATTTTTGCTCACATATTTTATTTCATTGGGCCACCCAGAATTAATTCGTTGTTTCGGGCCACCCGACCGACAGTCTTGTTTTCACCCATCTGCAATTTGTTTTTTTTGTGCATGTACGATGTATACATGGCTGTGTACACAAGCGGTCCTAATGATTGTCGTAATGACCTCCACTGATGCCCTGCGCACGAAACCAGCAAGGAACAAAGATCTCAGGCATAGGCTGCAAATATTCTCACATCTCAATTCCCCCCCCCCCCCCTAACTTTGGCATTGGCCAGACTAGCGCACATTGGTCTTTGTGATACTAGCTTGGGCATTGGACCATACATAGTGTAGCAAATTGTATACAGCAAGTGCTGCCTATGTCCTGATAATACAACGCGTAATAGTTCCCAAACAGGCCGGCTTGTGTTGTTGGCAATTCCTTGTTGAAACTTATTTCTTCACATCGGCCTTTTGTTCTTCCAATTCTAAATTTTCTAAGTTTTGAAATTGGTATTGGTAGGGAGCAAAGGATTGTATTGAGCATAGGTCGCTAGTCACAGTTCATTTTGAATGTAAGAGCATCCGTCCCTGGCACAGTGGTCGGCAGTCGCTAGCTTGTGACTGCATCTGATGGCGTATGCTTACTCTTCCGATTGTAGGAATCTGGAACAGAACATGATTCTTAATCTTTGCTTTTACTCTTCCGATTGTAGGAATCTGGAACAGAACATGATTCTATCACTTCCAGCCAACCTCTTTCAGAACCTTCCAATTTTACATACAGTGTAAGTATGTACAGTCCTGCTCACATACATACCAGCCATCCAGGGTTCCCCGGGACAGTCCAGCAAATAGCGTGTTTGTCCAGGGGTCCAGGGATGTCGTGCGAAAGTCCTGGGATAGAGATGGGACTTTTGAAATCGATGTTTTTCTAGGTTTTTTATGACGATTTTTCAGTGTTTCCTCGAACTAGATCTGTTGTATACATCTCTACCTCTATGCATTATCTGTTTGTTTCAGATGCAAATTCCTCTAGCAACAGATATGACAGCTAGCGCAGTAGACTTCACTGGCCCGGGACAAGTCGAACAGTTGAGGAAGTAGAGACTCCAGCAAGAAGCGTATGAGGATAGCTTATTACTAGTACTTCAGATAATCAAATGCACCCTGAGCAGCCCATGAAAGTGGAACTGGTGAAAACTGGTACGGCCATGGGAACACCAGCCGTACCAGTGGCGAAGGCCCTGTGATTGTATCCACAAAAAGAGCCGTTTTTCTTTCAAGCACGATTGGATTCACAAATACAGCGCCGCACAGAGTTCTATGGGCAAGAGCTACTGTATAAGCAGAAATGTTCATCTGGAATACAATTTCGTCTTTTTCATGTGGCACTGCAATGGATTGCCTGTAATGAACAGAATTGTTTTTAAAGTAGGCAGTTACAGCTCAATGCAATGATATCCATTTTTGCTTGAGCAGCTGTCATGACAAATTCATCTGCTCACATGATTGATGCGCTAAAAGGCGAGCAGTGTGAAAGCAGTGTGAAAGCAAGTGTAGGTTGGAGAAATGCAGATGAGAAAGGCACAAGTATGTGAGTGGGTATGTGAGTGTTGGTATGTTCAGTGAAGAGTGTAAGTGCGGTAACAAATTCTTTCTGCATTTCTCCAATTTACACTTGCTTTCACACTGCTCGCTGCTCATGTAATCACGCCTCCAATAGTGCTTGCTTTAGAATATTAGTGTTTCTTGTACTAGTTTTTAGATTTAATACTATTCACTTTATGGTACCATAAATAACTTTCCTTTGTAGTCCAACTCTCAGTGTGATGAAGATTTCTGATGATTATCATATGAAACAACGTTCAAATCATAAAAATTTACAAAAAATTAATATTGTTCCATTGTTCTCGTGGTATGAGTGCGCTCACTTTACTTTCATCCATATTATGTTTCTTGTCTCCACGCCGACTTTATAATATTTACTATTACCCGAAAGATGTAACAGTGTGCTGACAGTGCTCAACACCATGGAGGCAGAGCATAATACAGTACAATAGTAACTCAAAGCTTGTTTGCTGCGATTTCAAGTTTCATGCTCTCGCAATCATCAGGCAACAAATGTTCTGTAATATTTACTATTATAGTTTCGGTAGTGGACAGCAGTTCATGACTCATTTCCATGTGTCCCTTCTGTTTTCTACATTTCCTTTGAAGGCTTTTGCAGAAGAACAATATCACCAGACTACCAGAAGACTTACTCCAACCCATTAATGGAACTCTAGCTCTACTGTAAGCACGAGCACTTGCGCTTGTTATATTCAATAGTGCTAGATTCCATTTCCCCTCAACAGTTTCATAAACTTACTGCAGTAATCCATGTGGGATGCATGCAGGGATGGACCCTGCATGCAGTGCCGTTCCAAGTCATCCTTGTCTTTTGTGTCCTGCTAGCTAGTATGGTCTCGAGACTCAACACGTACTTTAGCACTTTGGCTACACATGTCTTGGTATATCTGTCGGCTGTTCCCGCGGCAGCAGCCAGACCCTGATAGTGATGGGTGAAGTGACCCGAACCAACGAAATAACTGTGGGTGGCCCTACAGTCTGTCCACAAAAGAATGCCGTGTTTCTCAGCTACACAGTTATGGTTCACTTATTATAAAGTTATCGAGTCACAACGTCGTCTACGCGGAATGCCTCTGCACGTACTTTTTTTTGTAAAAAAAACTACTGATATTATTTGGCAATCAGAGTACTAACTATGCGGTGACCATGCTTTATTACAATAGTACCACACATGGGAGAGAAATGTGAATGTGAAATGTACATATGAAAAGACCTACACTGTTGTGAATTCCATCAGAAATCCAAGAGAGCTCGATACCAGGAAGGTAGAGCCGTGACACACTAGTCAGAACAGCAGATGGCTTGATCAGTCACAACTTAAAGTTTCATGCCATCTCAGGCACTCATCAGGTGAGTGCCTGAGATGGCATGAAACTTTAAGTTGTGACTGATCAAGCCATCTGTTGTTCTGACTAGTATGAAAAGACCTACATGTACATTTCAAAGGATCAGTCGAGTTCTCCCAATCCTTTCAAAAAATGTACATTTCACATTCACATTTCTCTCGCATGTTTGTTGCTATTGTAATAGAGCACGGTTACCGCACAGTTAATACTCTTGATTGCCATATTTAAGTTGCTGTCTCCGAAACGCTTGTTTACCTATTAATGATTTGATGTCAAGATCTGAATCCGCGAGAAAATATTGCGTGGAAAAGCCAAGCGGAGCGTCCTTCAACTATTGTACTTTTGTTGTTTGCTGTCGTCGTCTTCTTCCTCGAAGAATGATCATTGCAATAGTATGGCCAGACTGGCTGAAATGCTGCGAACGCGTCATGAAAGTAGAGGATGATTAGGTGAAAGCTGACGACATCGAGGAGCAGCTTCAGGAGGCTTTTATTGTGCATCTTGATGATGAAAATGATGATAGCTCCTCTGCTTCCGATGACAGCGGAGGTGAATAAACTGAAGAAAAAACTAAAAAAATCCGTATCATCATCAAACTCGGATACTGAGCCAATAAATTTAAATAAAATAGGAGAAATCACATGGGAACGAGTAGTGAAGCAACTATCACACGCATTACGCATGACTCTCAGCGATCGCATGTGCATTACTCTATCTCTCGATGCTGTTTCTCTTTCATCTTTGCTGCGCTGAGAGTCAGAATTGCTTGACAACCTTGGCCAGTGTTTTTGATCACCACCACCCACCACATCATGTCTAACCACACTCCATTCTTAGCCATCCCGGAAGGGAGAACGGTAGAGATCGTGGGTCAGGCCAGCATTGAGCCAAATGCGGTTACATTTGCTCACAACTGCAGCGTTACTGTATGCTCGTGTATTGAAACGTCTGAAGTCTCACCGGGCAATTGTTGCCCCCCCCCCCCCCCTTAACTTTGGCATTGGTCAGTGTTTGCATTGAGTCTTCTACGCACATTCCAAAGTCTACATGCCTCCGGAAAAGCAAGACAACATCAGGCTTTGAGGACAACCATTTTTTTTAAACCGTGTCTTGTTTATAGAATAAAATAATACTACTCCGATACTGAGCCAGTAATAAAATGTAAAAAAAGAGAAGAAACACATGAGAACGAGTTATGCAGCAACTATCCACGACTGTAACAAGATGATAAACGGTCAGAAAGTGCGATAACAGGGCACAAAACTGACAGGCTACTGAGACATTCAGCGACCGGAGACCTAGCTCTAACACATCTAGCGCTGAAGGTAATCAGGAGCTCGTGGCGAGAGATTCAGCTCAAGCTGGTGGGGATGGTGCTGTGCTTGGGCTGCTCGAGTGTGGCGATGACGTGGCGGTATAGCCGGCGGGGGACACATGGCTGCAACTTGAGGCAGACCATGGCCACACATCAGTTTGTACAGTAGGCAGAGAGCAGAGACCTTTCGCCGAACAAGGAGGCTGGGAAGAATCGTACCAGGGCCAATGACATTTAGGGCGCGGAGCTGGACAGCATCCAGCATGGCCAGGTGTGAGGGGGCTGATCCCATCCACGCAAGGGGGGGGGGGGCATATTCCAGCATTGGCCGGACGAATCCTTTGTAAACAGTCACCCTGCCCGCGTGGCTGAGGAGGGGTGCTGCCTTCCGCAGGAGGCCCAGCCGCTGCTTAGCACGTGATGCCACTTGCCGAAGGTGGAGTCTGTAGCTCAGTTTAGAATCAAACGTCACTCCGAGCACCTTCACAGATTCATCTGGTGGGAGAGGAGTTCCGCCAAATGACAGCTGGGGAGGCACTGTATCCTTCCGCTGGTGCGACAGAGTGATAGTTTGCGATTTTGATGGCTCAAACGCAATCTTCCATCTCTTGCCCCAGGCATGAAGCTCATCTAGGCTGCGTTGTAGTGAGGCATTCGAGGCTTGGTCAAGGAGGGAGTACAAAGTTGTATCATCAGCAAAAGTGTTCAGGTTTGTAACATGCGACAAGCAGCTTGAAATGTCGTTTACGTACACGAGGAACAATGTAGGTCCAAGGATACTACCTTGTGGGACGCCAGCCTGGACAGGGTGCACCGATGAGCTCTAGCCATGAACGACAGCTTTGATGGTGCGACATTGCAGGTAGTGGGTAAGCCATGCGAGCAGTGAACCCCCTATCCCCAGCTGGCGGGCCTTGTAAAGTACGCCAGCATGAGACACTTTTTCAAAAGCCCCCGCTATGTCCACGGCAACTGCTTGCATAGCTCCACCTTCTGCCATGGCATTGGCCCATTCATACTGTAGGACAGTCAGGAGGTCTGCAGCTCCGGTGCCACATCTCCAGTGCGCAAACCAACAGCCTTCCAACTTGGAAGGTTCATACTTTTTTGCGCCCTGCTATCGCACTTTCTGACCGTTTATCATCTTGTTACAGTCGTGGATAGTTGCTGCATAACTCGTTATCATGTGTTTCTACTCTTTTTTTTTAAATAATACTACATCTGAATTTTAGAAAAAAACAAGTCTGAAAAAGACCCAGCTCGGAAGCCAAACTTCCAGGCCAGAGGAGCATGCGCAGTCAGCTGGCCACGCTACTCGTACAACAAACACGTGATTTATATGGATGCGGGTGTCGTGCCATCACACGTATAAGAGCGAGAAAAGAACCGTTTAGCACGCGTCGCACACAGCAGAAACTACAGCACAGAGTAATGAGGAATGCAATGCAAAGAAGTGAATCATGCCATGACAATAATAATTGATATAATGTATTTCATAGAGTGCAACATACATTCTGAACAGCTAGACTAACGCACAGTGGCGCTTGTCATACATGTACTAGCTTTGGCATTGGACCATACGTAGTACAGTGACACCTGTCTAAGACCACCGCTCTAGGAACCTTCAGAATCTGGTCTCTGTTACCAGGTGGTCTCCGTATCCAGGGTCATTTGACTGGAAATAGCATCCCTTGGTCTTGGTTCCAGTGGTCTTCTGGGACAGGTGGTTGCCTTATCCGAGTGGTCGCTTTGACAGGTTTTACTGTATATCAAACTGTATGCAGCAGGTGTTGCGTATGTCCTGATAATACAACGCGTAATAGTTCCCAAACAGGTCGGCTTGTGTGGTTGGCAATTCCTTGTTGACACTTTTTTCTTTACATTGGCCTTTTGTTCTTCCAATTCTAAATTTTCTAAGTTTTGAAATTGGTAATGGTAGGGAGCAAAGGATTGTATTGAGCATAGGTCGCTAGTCACAGTTCATTTTGAATGTAAGAGCATCCGTCCCTGGCACAGTGGTCGGCAGTCGCTAGCTTGTGACTGCATCTGATGGCGTATGCTATAATCTTTGCTTTTACTCTTCCGATTGTAGGAATCTGGAACAGAACATGATTCTATCACTTCCAGCCAACCTCTTTCAGAACCTTGCACAGTTACATACAGTGTACGTATGTAGTGTACGCTTCTCATTGGCTGAATTTGAAATAAACGAGAAGCATTGTTCTTTCGAATGATGAACATCTGCGATGCGTGTTTTCTGTTTTGTTTTGTGTTTTTTTTTCTATTTTATTTTATTTTTGATGCTGGTGTCATGGTAATGACACAGAAGGTCGCGCAAGCGCGGAAAAGGCGCTTGCGCAGTTTGAATCTGTCTCTTTTTTGTCTTGCATTGCAAGGGCCCATCCACCCGCCCTTGTGTTTGCCGTACTAATATAATTACGGTGTGCGGTGCCAGCTGTTGGCAGGCTTGTTTTGTTTTTTGTTTTGTTTCGTTTTGTGCTGTTGTTGTTACTAGTTAGGGATCAGTACCTTCCTATCCATAGAATTTTATCGATGTTACCCTTCAAGAATAATGCAATATGGCTGCCCGCAGCCAACCCTGCACTTGTTATGGCTGATGTGAGGTATGAGAAAGAACAGTCCTGCTCACATACATACCAGCCATCCAGGGTTCCCCGGGACAGTCCAGCAAATAGCGTGTTTGTCCTGGGGTCCAGGGATGTCATGCGAAAGTCCTGGGATAGAGATGGGACTTTTGAAATCGATGTTTTTCTATTTTTTATGACGATTTTTCAGTGTTTCCTCGAACTAGATCTGTTGTATGTCTCTACCTCTATGCATTTTCTGTTTGTTTCACTTGCAAATTCCTCTAGCAACAGATATAACAGCTAGCGCAGTAGTCTTCACTGGACAAGAAGAACAGTTGAGGAAGTAGAGACTCCAGCAAGAAGCGTATGAGGATAGCTTATTACTAGTACTTCAGATAATCAATTGCACCCTGAGCAGCCCATGAAAGTGGAACTGGTGAAAACTGGTACGGCCATGGAAACACCAGCCGTACCAGTGGCGAAGGCCCTGTGACTTTATCCACAAAAAAAGAGCCGTTTTTCTTTCAAGCACGATTGGATTCACAAATACAGTGCCGCACAGAGTTCTATGGGCAAGAGCTACTGTATAAGCAGAAATGTTCGTCTGAAATATAATTTCGTCTTTTTCGTCCAAGGAGCTTTTGGACTAAATTAAATGCCGGACTAATGTCGATTTGTCCAGCTTTTCAATACACTCCTATGATCCATGGACGAATTTTACAACCGGAGAAACTCCCTTTCATTGGAAATTATTGACCGACGAAATTTTCTGCCTGTACAGTACATGTTTTGCAAAGGGTATTCATGTCATATCTTCAGCGACGTCAGTGGTGAGAATGATCTGGAGCCACGCTGCTAGAAAAAAAACATGTGGCACTGCAACGGATTGCCTGTAGTCAACAGAAAATTTTTAAACGATGCAGTTACAGCTCAATGTAATGATATCCATTTTGCTTGAGCAGCACACATGAAAAATTCATCTGCTCACATGATTGATGCGCTAAAAGGCGAGCAGCGTGAAAGCAGTGTGAAAGCAAGTGTAGATTGGAGAAATGCAGATGAGAAAGGTACAAGTATGTGAGTGGGTATGTGAGTGTTGGTATGTTCAGTGAAGAGTGTAAGTACGATGAACAAATTCTTTCTGCATTTCTCCAATCTACACTTGCTTTCACGCTGCTCGCTGCTCATGTAATCACGCCTCCAATAGTGCTAGCTTTAGAATATTAGTGTCTCTTGGGTTAGTTTTAGATCTAATAATGTTCACTTTGTGGTACCATAAATAACTTTCCTTTGTTGTCCAACTCTCAATGTGATGAAGATTTCTGATGATTATCATAATAATGAAAACAACGTTCAAAACATAAAATATTGTTCCATTGTTCTTGTGGTATGAGTGCGCTCACTTTACTTTCATCGATATTAGGTTTCTTGTCTCCACGCCGACTTTATAATATTTACTATTACTCGAAGGATGTACCCAGTGTGCTGACAGTGCTCAACACCATGGCGGAGGCAGAGCGTAATACAGAACAGAAAAACAAGGACAATCAAGGCTTGTTTGCTGCGATTTCAAGTCTCATGCTCTCGCAATCATAAGGCAACAAATGTTCTGTAATACAAAATTACTGTTTCAGTAGTGGACAGCAGTTCATAACTCATTTCCATGTGTCCTTTCTGTTTTCCACATTTCCTTTGAAGGTTTTTGCAGAAGAACAATATCACCAGACTACCAGAAGACTTACTCCAACCCATTAATGGAACTCTAACTAAACTGTAAGAACGAGCACTTGCGCTTGTTATATTCAATAATGCTAGATTCTATCTCCCCCTCAACAGTTTCATAAACTTACTGCAGTAATCCATGTGGGATGCATGCAGGGATGGACCCTACATGCAGCGCCTTTCCAAGTCATCCCTCTCTTTTTGTGTCCTGCTAGCTAGTATGGTCTGCAGACTCGACACGTACTTTAGCACTTTGGCTACACATGTCTTGGTACATCTGTCGGCTGTTCCAGCAACTGAAAGTGTTCTTGTCACTCCTGCATCTGCTTGCGAGTTTTCAATGTGTCAACACGTCGCACGCCTTTGTACTTTCCCGACTCCTCCCGCTGGTGCCCAATTTCTACTTATACCAGAACTTCGAGCCGATAGTGGCGAAATGTCTTAAGCCCATAGACCTTTCTATCATTTGTTTTGGCCAAGAGACAGCCGAGTTACACCGGGTTGCATTTTGAAAAGAAGACACATCACAGTGGTATCGATACATCCATATTTTGGGCCTCAAAGGGTTAAACCCTACATCTGGACACACGCATATAACCCGATTTTGAACACATCAGTCTCTCTTACCCTTGTGAACTTATGTTTTTATGCATCACACCTTGAATATGAGCCTCTTGAATGTCCAGTTTGCAGTTCTGAGTTGATTAAGGAAAATATTCAGTCTAGGCGAAAATAGGAAAATATTCAGTCTAGGCGAGTGTTGCTTGAAAGCAGTATACCTACGGCAATTGCCCCACTTGTTCCTGGTCTTACAAAGGAAGAGAACAATTGATTTTGAGGTGGCATGATACCAGCGAAACAACTGGAGTCAACTTGTGACCTTTGACAGTGCAAGAGCATCAGAAGTACTATGTTCTTTCCTTTGCAGCATTAGGCATTGTTGCACCTGAAGGCACCTGTCGCACCTGTGGGCACACATACAATCCTTGCCTGCACTTTGGAACTGTTTCCGTTGCCTGTGTCCTCTTTTCTCTTTGCTTGCATGTATTGCTGAGGGAACATAATAATATTATTAAGCTGGTCTGATCCCTACATTGCATTCGCCGCGCACACTCATCCGGTAGAAATGTGTAAAGAATAATGATAGTAATTTTAAAGAGTCAGCGTGGAGAAAGCAATTTTATGAGTGCAATAAAGAGTATAATAGATGCAGATATGGCCAGACAACGAGTTAATGGAATTTTAAAGGATTTTTATTATTCAAAAATCGATTTTCGTGTTCCGCTCTTCAGTGAATATTATTGGAACTGAGGGTAAAAAAATCCTAAATCCAAAAATCCTTTAAAATTCCATTAACTCGCTGTTGTCTGGCCATGTCTGAAAGCGCGCTTTCATAAGATTTTGCGAATAGTCAAAAAAGATCAACAGGACTTATGTCTGGTGGAATACTCAACACAGCTTAAATTTGTTCAGTTTGTTCTGTTAGCAGGATGAGCTATATCGCAGTGAAAATTCTTTTATGCAATTAAGAGTCCATATCTATAGGAAAGAGATTCTGCAACAGATTGGTCCAGCTAGCCGATTGTCGATTTCCCTGGGAAATTTTCCGGCCCGCATATAGACTTCCAATGCTCATCCACGTCTTTGGTAGGAATCAGAGAGCCAATCTCTGGTGAGAAGGCAATACTGCCTGTGCTTTAAACAAGGGCGTCGGACACGCTACGGTCACTACGGTATTGGCCATACCACTCTTTGTCTCGGGCATGGTAGATCTACTCTGTGAATCAAAAAAGGCACTGATTTGGGCTCAAAATTTCAAACGTTTCATAGGAGCCACCCCAACTCCACGAGTAAATTGTAGTTCAGATGGCTGACCGTACCACCCAAAATACCTTCCGCCGCCTCTGTTAAGTGAAAGAATACAACAACATTTCCACAAGCGAGTAATCTATGATGCCTGCGTGTTGTGCGTCTTCCTCTATGGCTCTGAATCCTGGCCTGTGCTGCGTCGCGATGAAGATCGTCTGGACTGTTTCCACCGCCAGTGCGTCCGTGCTATCCTTGGCGTATCGCGCATGGACCAGGAAGCAGACCACATCGCCAACAGCGAGCTGCGTGTGCGCTGGGGTAATAGTGATCTGCTTTCTGACATCCTGCGTCGCTGGCGAATGCAGTGGCTTGGCCATGTTGCCCGCATGCCGGATGACCGCCTTCCGAAGCAGCTTCTGTTTGGTTGGCTGCCGCAGACCAGGCCAGCACATGGACCACGTCTCAGGTGGAAGGACCCCGTTCGCTCGGATCTTACTCTACTCTATGTACCAGAGTGGTACAAGTCCACACAAGAGCGACGAGAGTGGCGCAGCATCTATCTGCCCAGTGTGGACCGTCCTGCACTGGAGCCGGCTGCTCACTGTAACACCTGCAACAGAACATTCACCAAACAGTCGGGTCTTACGCGGCACAATTGCCTTGCTGAGCATAGGCTTCCGGTAGAGCTTCAGCGTGGTGCACGGCATTGCAGCACCTGCCGGCGTGGGTTTAAAAGTGCGGGGGGCCTGGCTGTTCACCGTTGTCAGCCATCACCATCTACAACAGTGGAGCCAACCGCTACTGCTCACGCCTCATCGCCTCCAGCCCAAGCATCTCTGCCCTCGGCGTCCCCACCCTGGTACGCTGTCTCGACTGAGCGCTGCTGCGATCATCACTGCAGTGTCTGTGACCGCTGCTGCAAATCGGCTTCAGGCTTCAGCCGCCACAACTGTCGGAGAGGCGGGTGCAAGCCTGTTGATCGTGGTCACTTTCCACATGAGTGCAAGTGTGGGAGACGTTTCCATTGGCTCCGCGACATCCGGCGACATGTCTGCAGGGCGTCATGACTGCACGCTCTCCTCTCCTCCCAAGCATCGGGGCGGCACAGCCAGTTACTGGCAGCTGTACACAAGGTCAAGGTGTGTGTGTGTGTGTGTGTGTGTGTGTGTGTGTGTGTGTGTGTGTGTGTGTGTGTGTGTGTGTGTACCTGTGCATGTGTGCGTGTACATGCATCTGTCTGGTTCTGTGTGTTTTGTATGTGTTCAAGCTACTGTGTACGTAACTGTGTGCATGTCACGTGTGTGCACATGTTCCTTTTGTTGCTGCTGGCGTATCCAGGGACTTATCTAATAATCCACTGCAGAAGACTCATCGCTTGTGCGCTGTGACCAATTACACTCTCAGCAGTACAGTTACTGTGATACTACCAACGGCTGTGGAGTTATTCGTCAACACTAGTAAGTACTTCTTGAAGTACACATTTTTTTCTTGAAGAACTATGCTTCTGCCGCTAATTTGCTTGTATTTTTTCCACGCCGCCGCAGTTTGCGCTTACCTTTGCCACAGGAATTCATGCCATTTTTTCCATAAAAACCAGCCACCTTCTTGATAGGTGACAGAATCAGTATGTATTTGAGAGACATGGTGGACATTGCATCTCAAACTTGCTGCGGACACAAGATCAAATTCCAAACCACCCAGCTTTCTCACAACAAGGACCAGCAAAACATTTGTCTCGATCCAGTCTCTCAATATTCTTTCAGCCGTACAGATCCGGACCAAACGATAATTATGAGCCACTTGCACTTCGAACAAGAAGAACTTCAAGTGGCTTCGGGAGGAGAAGAACAAGGACTTCGAGCTTAGGAGCTGGAAACAAAAAAAAGGCATTCCGAGTTGACACTCCATGCTGCTGGCTCTGTGGAAAGTAGCTAGTGCGTACAGGACCCATGCATCGCAGCTGGGCATATTGGATTTCAATGCACAAGCCTTCACGCCGGGTATGCGTCCATGGAGCTATGAAGCCAAGACCTCTGGTCGGCGGAGCTTAATGGGCCCCACCACCACACTCCATCATTCACCCCAGTGTCTGGAGATATGTGGATTTTGTAGGAAAAAAAGAAAGAAAAAAACACTAGCAGCGCCAACTGGCTTCATATGCAAGGCACGAAAGTATGGTACCTAAAACCTTCACGTCGTTTCTTTTGTGTGTTGTGTCGCTCCATGTCGATATATCGGATGTGTTTGGAGTCCCCGTAAGCTTTAGTCACCAGCAACGGTTGGCTATAAAAGATGCCCATTCCATTTCTAGAAGCTTTCGAGATGCGGATGGATTTCTGCTTGGAGATGGATGTCACCGCGAAGGACATGGCCTCCGACTTCTGTCGTCTGGTGCTGCCAGGGATCATTTGTTCCGTCATGTTGGCAGCCTAACCGTCAGCTTGGGAGGAAGGATTCAGTTCTGCTCGTTGTGGTAGATCTCAGTGTTTGCTCTAGGATTTCAAACCAACCAGGTACGCGTGTACCCGGCACAACTCCTGCAACTGAGCCAGAGTCGAGCATGTAACAAGTGCGACTACTACTGTGCATCAGGGAATGGTGAACGGAAAAGTATTTGAAGACTCCCTGATGCACATGGCTGGTTGTACAGGGAAACCTGTGACTAACGACCACCCCTTGGGGCCAGAGAAAGCGGTCTTTAGTGGCAGGTGGTCATTAGTTAGAGGTTTGCACCGCACAACCATTATAATGAATGTGAGACCGTCCGCGCCTGGTGAAGTGGTCTTTAGTACCAGGCTGGTTGCTAGTGACGGTGGTCTTTAGTCACAGGTTTTACTGAACGTGCATGAACGTAATGGGCACTGCTTGCATGTCCAGGCCGGCCTGCTTTGCGCCTGCACTAGCTGCAGCCTGTCATACCACGTGTCACTACATTGCAATAAGTAGGATCAGCGAGTACCTCTTGAACTAGGGTTGCAAGGAATATTCGAATATATTCAAATATATTCGTTTGGATACGCTGTGGAAGGAACATTTTCACCTTTGGTTCTAGAATGGATGGAGTGATATGTACATGTGTTATAATAATTACTATGTTGAGAAAAGGAACTATGACTCACAAGACTAGTGAACATGACTCGACTGTTTACTTGGTCAACAACGACAGGGGAATAGCCAGATCAGTCTTTCAGATTATTGTGCTATAGAGTATTCGATATTCGATTCGTTTAGGAAGATATTTGATTCGTCGAGATTTAGAATATTCGTTCCACCCCTACTTTGAAGCATAAAAAGTACTTGACATGACTTCCAACCGGGTCACAAGTGACCCGTTTTTTCTTTTTCCAAACGGGTCCAAGTACCCCAGCCGGGTCGCGAATCTGGCCGACCTGGCCCCGGAGCAGACACTGGATCATCAGGAGCAATCTGAAATGGCACAATATTGAACTCAGCATTGTGCGGACAGCGGTGTACATGTATATTCAGGACATTGCAAGGTATCTGTGTGTGTGGTGGTGCTGTGCCACGAGAAACTTCAACCAGGGTCTTCTGTCCTCTGCCTGCTCGATTGAATATCCACTTTGCGCGAACAACAAGCACAGCAATCGAGGCCTTTTTGCAATATAATTTTTTGGCTATCCTGGAGCTGAAAAAGAAGAAGAAGGCGTGCGGTAGATGAGACTCGAGTACACACATGCTCTCCCTACAGGTTCTGTAGATATTGCGTATAGATGCGCAATTTCGTGTGACGCAATTACTCCCCCCCCCCCCCCCCCCCCCCCCCCCCGCCACCACCATCTCCAATTTAGGAGCTGCGTGTGCACCTTTACCCTGGGGGGGCGGTGGTGTTCCTGCTCATGGGAAAAATTCAGTCTCATTGTCGTGAATATATATTTAATTTTTTCCACACCGTCCTAATAGGTTTTCTTGCAGGATAGCAGTCAAGACGCAGTTACAGCATCATTTTTGTTAGATAGATATATGGCCCGATATCTGAGACTTTCGACCTTCAGCTGGGGCTACGCGTTTTTTAAAACACTAAAAACAAATTTGTTCGCCAAAAAATCGATTCCGTCAAAGCAAAGTGCAGAGACCACAATGGCGGAAGAAAATTGAAGGCGATTCTTGTGTCAGTTGGTTATTGGGCTCACGGAGGGCAGCAGCCGCGATCCCATGGACGGTGATGCATCGCTCTTTGTGGATTATTATTATTATTCTTATTATTCTTACACCTTCCAGTGGCTAAAGATGAATCAGTGCCAATATAGATGAGGAGGGGGCATTTGCCAGCCATATCCTGTCAAGCGGCGACAGCTCTTCTAGTTCTGAGAGCGCATGTCAGGTGAATCGATCGCGCACAAGTGACACGCAGTAATTACCTGTCGGGGCGACGATGATGGGGACTTGGCCTGGATGAGTTTGATCAAGGCCAACCACAGTCTGAGTCATGTTAATGAATTGGTTTTTTTACAATATTGGAAGATCAGTGTGTTTGGAGCCACCAAAAACTGTTTCCATGTGATATCAATAGCCAACTAATATGGTACAGTATTTTGACTGTTCCGGTACTTCATTTCCAGCATTCCGTGACTTTATTGAGGTTGTGTAGTTGCAACAGCAGCAATAGCAGCATTAGAAGGAGAGGTGATTTACCTGTTCTCCTGGTGATGGACATACTTGACAGGATAGTCTGCAACAGATTTTGACGGAACACCATGATGCTTTTCTACATGGTCAATATTGGTCTGATGGCCGTGAAACAAAGTCACACTACTCTACAAAGGCTACACATCAAATTGCAATAAAAAATCAATTTCACCGAAACAGCCCCGAAGGTCGATTTTCTCAGATATTGGGCTATATGTAACTGAGATGTAGCGACAAACTCGGCCATTTGAAAAAATCTTAACCGTCCACCTCTCCACACTGCGTTCCTGGCCCACATCCACAACACCACTCCATAGCAAGGAAGTTTGTTCTTGGGTAGATATTCCATACCCTGCAGACAGAAGGAATGAGTCCGAGTATTTCTAGGGTAAAGTGGCGGAATTGCGCACTTTCTACATAGAGAAGTGGCACACCCAAAGAAGTTGAAGGTGACAAAGTTCTAAAGGTGATAATGAAACACACAGCGCTGCTGGAACATGCATACAGATGGGGCTAGAATTTGGACAAGCGCGTGAAGCAGACAATTTATTAGAAGTTCGCACTAACGTTGCCACCGCGGAGGCAGAGCGTAATACAGAACAACAAGGACAACCGACACTTGTTTGCTGCTACTTCAAGTTTCATGCTCTCTCAATCATCAGGCAACATCCTTCATCCTCGGATATTGCCTGATGATTGCGAGAGCATGAAACGTGAAGTAGCAGCAAACAGCCTTGATTGTCCTTGTTGTTTTGTAATGTTAGATGAAAGTCTGAATTAGTCTTGGCTAATGCCAGCATGCTTCCCTGTGTTTTTATTCTCCCGTCTAGACATCACTAAAGCCTTCTGTCATAGCAGCTGTGATTCACTCAGCGCTGTCACCACATGTGGTGATGCTCGGCGTTGGTGCAGAGGCACAGTGGGCACCTATCAATGTCTGAGTAAGTTGAATGTAGAACTGCCACGGTGGTATTTGTCATTGCAATGCCACATCATCCTCGGCTGTGCTGAGTATCTGATAATCTTTCTTTTTTTTATTCATTAGAGTGGATTCTTATCGTTGTCAATCACCCATTTGAATTAATTATTTTGTTGTTATTAAAGAGCATGTCGCTAGTTCACAATGTTTTACATGCGTTATGTATTTCAAATATAATTTACCCCTACCCCTCCCCCCCCCCCCCCTCTGGATGTGGCAAATGGGATTTCGGCCTTTGGCCTCTAGTTGGTGGATCTGATCTATCCTCCCCAGCATTTAGGAGCTGCACCTGACACCTGATCATGCGGTGGTGGCGTCCCACGGAAGCGGAAAGGTGGTTCTTGACCCGCCCGGTACGCCAAACCATGCAATTGATTTTATCCTAAATGCATACCTTAAATTGAGCCCCACTGATGTCCTTGCTTTCAACAAAATTGTTATCATCGCCATTTATTCTCTCTTTGTGTCGTCCTCGATTCTCAGGTACCGTGGATGCCTGTCTGAAGTTCCACTTACCTCATGTTACTGTGGTGTCTCTGAACGTTTCTGCCACATTCCAATGCGAGAACGGTTCTTATCCTCTTAACAGTATCACCACTGGATCCTGCCTGTATCACCCAAGAAACGATACATTCGGCTGGAGCGGCACCCGCACTTGCAAATGTAAGTACAATCTCCGGTTTATTTCGCCGATCTGAACATAAAGAGTGCAGGAACTTTTCTCTGCCGTCAGCTTGAATTGCAGTTTTCGGGCACTCTCCTCAAAAGCATTGCAAACAACCATAACCAACACATTGATTCTACTACTTCTCTTGCTTTGTAAACTGCTGCAGCTATTCTAAGCTATTGTCCTGCTATGAGCTTGGAAAGCACTGCGTATCAGTTCGGCGTTGGTAATGCAACAAATGGAATTGTCGGTTCAACTGTGATCTGTAATGATGGATACAGTCGAGTTGCTGGAACTAATGAAAGTATGTCAGGAACTGCCATTTGTTCGAGTGTCAATGAAACGCATGGAAGTTGGAACATCACTGGGGAGTGCAGGCGTAAGTATCACTGCTTATACAAAAAATTACTTCAATAATTATTAACTGGTTTTGAGGGAAAGAGACAAACGGAAAAAGTCTGAAGAACAATTGACTGTCACCACCAGGACTCGAACCAGGGACCCTCGCTTGTAGCCAGCGATGCTCTAACCACTGAGCTATGGTGTAGTCGTCATCCAAGCAGAGACCGCTCAACGTTTTCTTCAGACTTCGTAACTCACACTTCCTGTGAATCCACACAGGCGGGTGGGACCCAGCCCTCACTGTACCCACACACTTCACGTACAAACTAGCACGCGGGGAGCCCCAAGTCATAAAATATTAACTGGTTTTGAGGGAAAGAGACAAACGGGAAAAGTCTGAAGAAAAAATTGACTGTCACCACCAGGACTTGAACCAGGGACCCTCGCTTGTAGCCAGCAATGCTCTAACCACTGAGCTTATGGTGTAGTCGTCATCCAAGCAGAGACCGTTCAACGTTTTCTTCAGACTTCGTAACTCACACTTCCTGTGAATCCACACGGGCGGGTGGGACGCAGCCCTCACTGTACCCACACACTTCACGTACAAACTAGCACGCGGGAAGCCCCAAGTCATAAAAAATTAACTGGTTTTGAGGTAAAGAGACAAACGGGAAAAGTCTGAAGAAAAAATTGACTGTCACCACCAGGACTCGAACCAGGGACCCTCGCTTGTAGCCAGCGATGCTCTAACCACTGAGCTATGGTGTAGTCGTCATCCAAGCAGAGACCGTTCAACGTTTTCTTCAGACTTCGTAACTCACACTTCCTGTGAATCCACACAGGAGGGTGGATTATAATAATAATAGTTGGCCCAGAATCTGCGAAAACCAGGCTTAGGGTGAAAATCATTTTTTTGAGAAAAATGATGTTTTGTAAAAAGGTTGTGTCGCGTGGACGATCGAGTGCAGTGAAGTGGAACCAAAGAGAATCTCGCTTGTTTGAAGAAGTAGCAGTCATGGCAGGAAGGGTTTCAGCAGTCAGGGAAGTCAAAGGGCTTCCGGTAGAGTATTCCCTGCTACTCCTCTAGGCTCTAGTCACAACGAAGAGTTTTTGAGCTGATCGAACGGATTCCATTTCCTACACTCAGGGATGGCGAAATTTCTGCGCTAGCTGCTGCTTGCGGAATATGGTGAAGAAATCGTCTCCAGTTAGAGTCGTGATGGCGATAGCGAGGAGAACCTGGACGACATCGATCCAGCCAATCGAAGTACAGAGATACTAGCTGTTTCTGGGCCTCACGCAAAGGGAACGCGCGCAGCGGAGTTCATACGTTTGCAGCAAATTCACGAGGAAAATGGCTTGAAGCGCAGTGTGAAAACTGTTTTGAATTGAAGTCCTTGGCGATGAAGTGCTACTGAATGCCAGGCGAATGAGCGAGCAGATCGAGAGGCTCCCACTCGAGACTTTCCTCGCTGGACAGCTAGCTGCAAGGTACGGCGTGCTGATATTTCACTTGCTGGTCAGCACCAAGCAGATACTGCAGCACGCCAGCACACTATGCGCTTACTATGAACAGTAGAACAGGTTGAAAGGCTGTGTTCTTGCTTGTTTCTGAACAGTTGTACTAGATTCACCTTTCAAAAGGTGCCATCTCAACTGGAGTCGGGTTTCCTTGTGGTGTGTAGCGCCAGAGCATGCCAGTACATGTATTCAGCCCCAGAATGTGCTGAGTGAGGAGCAAACAAAATTCATGCAGAACTGTGCATGGCCACTACAGCCTGCAGCACCAAGGGGCCACAACAAGCCTGCCCCCACATGCCTACCTTGTCATGTCACCTAAACAAAAATCATCCATGTCTCTTCCTTCAGTATGGTGAATCTCTCTTCATTTCTTTCCTGTGATAACAATTTTGTGTTTTTTTGGATTTTTTAACACAATACACTGGTGTGTTTGAGATGCTTTTAATACCGCTATGAGTCGACCCACACCTGTAATATTTTGTTTCCTGACCCCCCATGCCGAGTAGAAGCTGAAAATGGGAAAAAGTCATTTTGTGAAATTTCACCCTAAGCCTGGTTTTCGCAGATTCTGGGCCAGTTAAAGTTAGCATGTCACTCATGGAAGGATCCATGGGCTTAACGCATCTGTCAACGAAATATATATATATATATTTAATTACTTCAATATACCGCATTTTACCGGTTGTAAGTCGACCCCGGTTATAGGTCGACCCCCGTATCCGGAGGTCTCAATTCTGCGTTTTAAAGTTTTCACCCAAAGAAGCACTACTAACCACTCCCTTCTACTAACATATCAACAAATCACGAATCCGTTGATCCCCGAGCTGCAGAGAGTGCTCAATGTCAGAGACAGAGCTTAGTACATAGCAGACTCAGCGGAGGACGTTCAGGTTGGTTGTAACTCTGAGTTTCATGCCGCTAGGCAATCATCAGACAACTCAGCTATGCATCAACAAATCATGTAAACATTCCTTAGTGGTGGATATAACGTCCCAATCCTTGAAAAAGGCCAATAAACTGGCAAAAATGTGTACACATGGTGCACTCGTGCATGCAGTGTAGGTCGTTTTTGTAAGATACTGATAGTTCCTGGTTATAAGTCGAATCCCGGTGGTATGTCGACCCCACCCGTTCTCCTTCTATTTTTAGTCGTAAAGGGTCGACTTACAACCGGAAAAATACGGTAATACCTTTTGGACGAGTGGAAGTGGCACAAGTTGCAAACTTTTGATGTTTTCATGCTTAAATTAAATTCGCATATCTGTTTTTTAAAAGGTGTTGAGTCAATCCTGGTTAAAACAAAAATAAAATAAAAAGTCACGATTCGCGTGAGACTCGGCTAAAGGCCGAGTTTTCCTCATCCGCAGGAATGCCACCACCCTCTGCGGATCAAGGCGCTCTGTTTACACAATATTAAAATTGGCGATGTGATATCACAGGCGGTGCGGTGCATTGCGCAATAACGATCTTGGATGAAGGTATCTGGCTAGCCCTCGGGTTGTGAATTACCTTATTCTCCCGAGCATAAACCGCACCAAGATTTGTTGTCACGAACCACAGACATCTACCCTCCTTATCACCAGTAACTTGACCATCATACATTATTATAAGCCGCAGCGACATTTTTTTGAGTGAATTTCTCGTGTCTAATGTGCGGCTCGTACTCTGGAAAATACGGCAATGGCCTCTTGCATAGAAAGGTAAAAGCGGTGAGGCTTGCAGCAGCTTCGTACAACTAAAAAGTGGCGCGGAGTAGACGTGCTTTTTCTCCCAATTGCACTACAATCATCCAGCTCCTTTTCTCTGTACAGTTATTATTAACAATGTTCCAGCACCATTGCCCTCATCGGGTTTGCAAACCTGATGACGAAAACTTTACTGAAAAGCTGAGGTTCGAAGAAAAGGAGTCGGAGGAATGCAGTGTAACGGGGAAAGAGCAGGTCACCACTTTTACATTTGAAATGACCTGGGCATTGTGCCAGTGGAAGCTATCAACAGACAGTATTACGGAAGGCAGACATCACCACGAACCATGGCAGCTTTTTAGAGGGGCAGGACAAATTCATAAACATGTCCTCGTGCCAGCACAAGCTACCTTGCCATGTCTCGCCATTTAACCAGTGACTGACGGCTTGCTGATGCCCTCCCAGGAATCGATTGACGCCATACCATACGCCATCTTCAAGGGCCCATGGTTCATCGGAAGCGCCGTCGGGAATACAACGGCAAACCATGGAAAATTAGAAATTTTGCAACAGGAATGCATAGTGTGTGAACAAGGTCCGACCAGATATAAAATGAGCCGAATCTGAGCTACATGAGAAATTACAGCCGTGTTCACTGATTCTTGGTCGCTGCAGGTATAGCCTCTTTTAGACTACTGTATTTTCCAGAGTATATTATATAAGCCGCATTGGAGTATAAGCTACACCGTCAATTTGACCATCATAGTATAAGGCGCATAGACTTTCTGTGGGTCAATTAGTGGTGTTTAGAGAGTGTGAATTCAAAAAGTATACTCAGGAAAATATGGTTCTGCCTTTAGCGATCATCTATTATTATTATATTATTATCTCAGTTGTAGGCTATAGCTGCCAGGTCCACTTTGAACTTTCAACAGCCGATACTTGTGAACAATGTTTAGTCCCATGAGGCATACGGCTCACCCATGCCGAAAGAGAGTTTATACAGATTTGAGGGACACGCAAACACATTTCCTTAAAACATACTTCTGTGTGATATTTTATATTTATTATTATTATTATTATTTTAGAATTGCGATCAACAGAACGAGCTGAACCGACATTTTCACAAAGGCTTTGATTGTATTCAAAAAACGAGTGTATACGAAGGCAGTGAAGAACATGGAAGAAAGAAAAAAGCTCGTCATGGTTATAAGTTGCAGTTGAGTGTGTTAGAAGCCGTTTGTCAACGTATTCATAAGCCTAATCTGTGTGTCCAGAAGGACAGCATTATTCGTTTGAAATTGTTTTAGTAGCAACTTGTTCTGTCTGTTTGGCTCTGGTTGGCCATGGTGTCATATCTTGTGTCACAGTATACTAGTAGTCCTTACAAGTTCGTTAAGTGCTTTCGCAGTTTTTCCTGTTATTACCTTAGTGCTAGGATTATCATTTTCATAGGTGTTGTTTCTTCTCACTCCATTTCTCTTTATTAGTATCTTTCTGGATTGTTTTTCATTAGTACAACGTAGCTTCCTGAGGAGTGTTGTGCGAAAACTAGTTCGAAGTACAAATTTTTTGTTCATCATTTCTTCCATATCACATTTTTTCTTTCTTCCATGTTCTTCACTGCCTTCGTATACACTCGTTTTTTGAATACAATAAAAGCCTTTGTGAAAATGTCGGTTCAGCTCGTTCTGTTGATCGCAATTCTAAAACTATTGTCGCCTCGACGCCTATTAACATTATTATTATTATTTGAGGATTTGCCAAAGACGCACTCTAAATTGAAGGGAGCTCCATTATAATGGGAGGATGTAGGGTGCAGATAGTAAACAGTGGATGGTTAATAAGCAGCCTTTTTTTCTTGCTTTGTGAACTGTTGCAGTCAATCCAACCTATTGTCCTATCCTGAATTTGACAAATGGCGAATATCAGTTCAGCATTGGCAATGCAACCAATCGAATTGTTGGTGCCACGGTAACTGTGACCTGCAGCGATGCGTACATGCCAGTTGCTGAGGCTGATGGACGCAGTCAGCAGTCTATCAGTTGTTTGACTATGAACGCAACGCATGGACGCTGGGAGGCCGTGGAGTGCAGGTGTAAGTAACGCTAGGTACACGTCATTAGTCACTCGAAAAACATCTGGGATTGCTGGGATGATTTCAAAATCACCGTAGAATACCACCAGAGAGGCCCTGCTCTCAGTTAGACTTGAGTTTTTCCGCATGCACAGGAATGCCACCATCCTCCATGATCCACCAAACACGCCAAATTAGCCTGATTCTTACTTCCTAGACAAGCAAAGTGCAGCCATGTTCTGCAACTCATCTGGTAGCTGCATGCAGTGTTGCATCCGTTAGAAATGAGTACCAAAGAGGGTCGGATCACCCACGTACATTTGTTCAAGACATTGATCTCTTTCTCATTTAGTGTATTTCTTGTTCATCACATCCATGGTTCATCATCATCTTTCTGTTCTTGACTCAATGAAGCATTCGTGATATGTCGATCCAGCCGGTAATGGTTATTGTGATTTCTAAACAATGTAGGTGCCATTGTCTTCTCTTTCCTCACGTACCGTTGCAGTAAATCCGCACTACTGCCCTGCTCTGGCCTTGTCACACGGCTCGTACCAGTTCATCTTCGGCAGTGCAACTAATCGCGCTTTGGATGCCACCGCAGATGTAATCTGTGATGATGGGTACGGAGCGGTTCCTGAGACTAACGGCAGCAGTCCAACGTCTGTCAGTTGTTTGGAAGTCAATGCAACACATGGGCGTTGGAATATGGCGGTGGCGTGCAATCGTGAGTATCAATAGGGCATTATAGTGCGTTTCAAAATTCCAGACCTCTGGTTTCAAAAAACCGTTAGGCCAGCATCTATACCACATAAAATCTGTGATCACCTTGTGCATATTTTTTTCGAAATTGAGCGTCTGTTATCCAATCGCTTAGAAATTTATATGAGAAAAATTGCGTGAGCTGCCTGAGCAATATTCCGAAGAAATTTCTCAAAAAGCTCAAGCCAAATTTGAATTATTCGAAAAAGTCTAGAGGTCTATACTTTTGAAACGCACTATAGGTACACGTCATAAGTTACTCGTACTTCAAAACATTTGGGGGGGGGGGGGGAGGGCTGTTTTGATTTTTTTCTTTGAGTCTGAGGACAAAAAAATGTTGTAACCTTTCAACATGTTGTTTATTCTCATTCACTCATATGTCTCTTAGTCTTATCCGGACCTCCAAGTTACACATACCATACTGAAAGTGGACAAAATATTCGGCGCGTGTTTATTTTCGGCTATTTTCGGCCTGGTCATGTTAGGCCAAAAATTTGTCGCGGCTGAAATTTCGTTTTTCAAGGTTCAATGTGACAGTGTATAAAGGCAGCCATACAGGCCGAGAATTTGATGTGGCCAACATGGGTTTTAGCCCTGGGAGGCCGAAATTTGAATTGGCCGATAGTTTTTAGACTTTACAGCATTACCGATACTGTAAAGTACCGCCAGAGCGCCCCGTCTCATGAAAGCACCCCGCCTTGATTTTACAGCCAGGGAAAGGAAATCGTATGGCAGAGTGCAACAAAGTTTGTACGGTGTGAGAGCCTTAGCGTACTAAGGTCAAGCTTACTGCGGCATGTTTTTTTGTGTGGGGCTTTGCGGCAAACTGAGTACAGATTGACTATGCAGCGTGCAATGTGTGTACAAGGTACATGTCGTGCCACCTTCAGAGAGGACACCACCTCCACAGCACGACCATGAAAGGACCAGATGGTGGGGAGCTCCGGCGGTACTTTACGGTACTGTGCCACAAAAAAACTGTAATATTGTAATGCCATATGCCACTATTTTTTATTTTTCTACAAATAGTGGAAAAATTGGGCATACAATAAGGCTCGCCCATGTCTCAAAGGGATTTTAGGCAGATTTGAGGAACATGCTAACACATTTTCGGTAGAAACACTTTTTGTGCTATTTTCTCTTGCTTTGTGAACTGTTGCAGTCAATCCAACCTACTGTCCTGCCCTGGTGTTGGCAAATGGCGCATATCAGTACAGCATTGGAAATGCAACCAATCGAATTGTTGGCGCCATGGTAACTGCGACCTGCAGCGATGCGTACATGCCAGTTGCTGCGGCGGATGGAAGCAGTCAGCAGTCTATCAGTTGTTTGGCTATGAACGCAACGCATGGACGCTGGGAGGCCGTGGAGTGCAGGTGTAAGTAACGCTAGGTACACGTCATTAGCCTTCCCGCTATTGAAATTTGAGCACTTCCGTGGAGGAGATGCCTGTTGCTTTAGCGACAAGGGTTGGAAAAATCTTTGGAAAATCTGGTCCGACGGTGTAGAAGTGACCATGGAGAAGTTTCTGACATACCGACATCCGGAGTACCGCATTTCCCCGGTTATAAGTCACACTCGATTATAAGTCACACTCGATTGCAAGTCACACTCGATTATAAGTCGCACTCAATTATAAGTCACACTCGATTGCAAGTCACACACTCGATTGCAAGTCTCACACTCGAGTGCAAGTCACACTCGATTATAAGTCACGCTCGATTATAAGTCACACTCGATTATAAGTCACACTCGATTATAAGTCACACTCGAATATAAGTCACACTCGAATATAAGTCACACTCGATTACAAGTCACACTCGATTACAAGTCACACTCGATTGCAAGTCACACTCGATTACAAGTCACACTCCTTTTTCAGGTTTCAGCCATATTACTTCAGTAGAGTCACATAGGTAGAATGTCACTCTCAATTCTTAGCCACAACCCCTTCTTTGCCCTTGAAGTAAAGCGTACAAATATGCGACTTTTATTCGGGGAAATACGGTACCTGATGTTACAGCGTTCCGCGGGGGTCACTGGAGTAGGAATTTGGCGTACAGTCCATTCATAAAAAGATGGACGCTGGCTGTTGCTGGCTCCCGTTTTCGGGCGATTTTATCGTACACGCCCCAGTGCGGGTAATTTTGAAACTTGAGAAAGGGTCCAAAAGGTACCTATGCTGGGGTTCAAACCACACACTGCACTGTGGCAAGTCGAGTGAAACGGGCTGGATTTTCATGGTTTTTTCCAATTCAGTGCTTCTGGAGCAAAACCTGGACGAAATCCTATTCAGGTTACGCTTTGCCTATTGAAGAAATTTTGCATTCTATCGTCTTATATGCGTTAGGTTATGTACATGGCGTGTTTCTACAGTGCAAAATGCTAAAGAGTAATCTTGATAGGGCTTTGCAGTCAGTTAGGAAGGCCAAGGCGATCGAGCCCCCCCCCCCCCGACGCCAAAAATAATCGCCTTCAAAATAGCCGTTTTACAAGGGCTGATAAAGCAAGGAGCTGCATTCGCAATTAGAACAAACAATCCACCGGTAATTTGTTAACCACCTCTTCCAGCACCGAGGACATGTCACCCATCATCCTTTTCGGATATTCTCGCAATAAACACAACGTATTCTACTCCATCATGCTGAAATACAGCCAAACTCATACCTGAGCACGAGTGCTGGCTCCTTTTATACTCATGCACTACTCCCAACGCTGCAGAACAAAGTGTTTTGCTGGCTCTGCCAAGGAAAAGCAGTGGTGATCACTTGTCACTCCAAACAATCAGCTTCTCCTTGCACGACTTACAGTTTTTTGGTTCAACCGTTTCTGCAATAGTGACTGAAGTTCTGCCGGCAGTTTTTGAATTAAACAGCAAGAGAAACGATGAGATCACATGCTTCATCTCTGTCAACAATGAGAAAACACACTCCATGTCAAATTGTGCAGGCTGGTGTGAGCTCAGCCTTCGCTTTATCTCTGCCTGTTGGGTATCAGCCCGCAGCAATTGAAGACTTTGTTTGGCATCAAACATTGCAAAATTACCTGGGTACCGTAAAAGCTCCTGTATACGCCCACTCGAAATTACGCCCGCCCTCCGTGTACACGCCCAGTCAGGGGAAGTCTACACTTTTGTTTCAAAATAGCGCCCATGCCCATGTATACGCTATGCCTATTCCAAGTATACGCCTGGTTCCAAAATAACGCCCGCGCCCTTGTATACGCCCAGGAAATCGAGACTGCTATTATCTACGCCCTGGGCCTATACACGGGCTTTTACGGTATCACTTCTTAGGCAAGCAATAAAGCAGCCATGTTCTGCAACTCATCTGGCCGATTGTGTTGCATCCATTTGGAGTAAGGGTCGGATCAACCACATGCATTTGTTCAAAGACATAAATAATCAAGTGGTGTGCTTCACTGTCTGAAGAGTGCTCAATAACCATGTAGGGCACAGACTTGTACACAAGAGAGATTGGAAGCTTTGTCACAACTCTGAGCTTCACGTATTACTACGATCATCAGGCAACTGATGGCTCCAAAATGAGCAATCTGAAAATAAGGGGGGGGGGGGCAAGGAGGGAAATTCTGAGGGGTATCATAACGCAAGAGTCAGGAGCAGGCGTTTCCAAATCAGTACTTTTCTTGTTCATGGCATACATGGCTCATCATCTTTCAGTTCTCGATTCAGTGAAGCATTCGTGATAAAACTGATCATATTACGTCGATCCAGCAACGGCACCGTTTATTGTGATTTTAAACAATGTAGGTGTTTTTTCAGACATCATATTATTTATAGAGGTGAAATAAAACAGGAAAGGGCATGGGCCCTAATACGTGCAAGAGATAACAATCAACCTTGCACATGAATTGAGCATGTGTTCTAAACACATGTAAATGTGAGATGCAAAACAATAAAAACAAAAACTAAGACAATGAGCAGTGTAGGTATTATTGTGTTCTCTTTCCCTGTGAACTGGTGCAGTAAATCCGCACTATTGTCCTGCACTGGCTTTGTCGCACGGCTCGTATCAGTTCAGCGTTGGCAATGCAACTAATCGCATTCTGGGCGCCAGCGCAGCTGCAATCTGTAAAGATGGATATGGACTGGTCGCGGAGACCGACGGCAGCCTTCCAGCGTCCGCTGGCTGTTTACATATGAGTGCAACTCTTGGCCGTTGGAACAAGACTGCAAAGTGCGAACGTAAGCATCACTACATTGTAGGCACTTGTTGTTGTTGTTGTTTTTGTTTATACAAAAGCCACAGCTCAAGAAGAATGAGAGCATGTGGTGACGAGGCCCTGGAGCTCAGTTGACCATGAGGTCAGTGGTCTCGGCCTCGCGACAACCAGGAAGCGCCAAAAAAAGGTGTAATGAGTAAAGAAGAGAAATGAATGACCTTTGAAGAGAATGAGGGAAAAGCCAGAGGCAATGCACTGGTAATACAACAATTCCTATATAGTGTGGGTGGACTTGTCATAACTTGCTTCGAAGAATTTGGGATGGACGGGTCAACATGATATTAGAACTACGAGACGGCGAGTTGTCAACTTTCCACATGCTTGCTCACAATTTTGCATTCCCGTCTTTTTACAGGTGTTGAGTAAATCCCGTATATAAAAAATGACACGGTTCACGTACACGGAGGCATCGCACGTGCAGTGAGCAATTCTAGTAACAACATTGAAATCAAAGGCTTTCGTTGAAGGCAGATGTCTGGTTTTCCATCGGATTGTAGATCTATACGTCAGGCCATCTCGAACTGCATGCATTTGTTTTGTGTGCATAGGCTGTTTCGCCTGCGTATTGAACTGGTCGTGTTGTGAAAACAAGCATTTCAACACGCTCCTTATCAAATTTCCATTCAGCTGGGTCAGTGCAGTACAGTGAAGCCTCTTCAGGACAAACACCGGTGATGGTAGTCGCAATAACGGGAGTTCTTCATGCCGGCGTAAACACGGTGCTGGGTTTTTTTCCAATGAAATCATGAACACGACAGTCGTCGCCCAAACAATCCGGCCACTGCTCTGCTAGCTGTCGGTACACGGACCGCGCGCATACACTACCCACATTCGTCTACTGCATTTGAAGGGCTCCGATTTAAAACGCCATAAAGACCAAACCGTAGCTTTTGCGTTTTTTGTCATGACAGAATTCGTTTTCACCCCACGGACGTCTGTGTGTCGGTTTTACGGGTCAAAACGCGATACATCCCAGCCAAAATGATGCCTGAAGTTTGTGTTCTTCTGCGAAACGCGATAAAAGTCATTGATGCTGCAGTGCAGACCAAAAAAGAACAAAAATGAAAAAATGCACTTCCTGAAATTTCCACGAAATGGATTTATCTCGTTTTGAATTGGAGCCCTTCATATGCAATGGCTATGTAATTACATACACATACTGAGATACATACACTCAGGGCAGTGCTGGTGCAGTGAATACATGCATGCTACCACCATGCCGCCCGGCGCTACACAAAGCACAGCCGTAAACGCGTCACAGCACCACACAATGTATCCATGGTGCAGCCGTATTAAACAGTTTCCGTGGCGATAAAAACTATATTAGCGCAATGAAAGGAGCGAGTTGCGGTATTGGTTGGATTTTTTTGCCGACGACTGTAGTTCTTCTATGGCTATTCTGTATCTAGCTTCTAAGAACATAGCAATCATTAATTTTGTAGTGTGTGAGTGAACGTAGCTGTGAGTAGGCCATGGCTACCCAGAGCAGAACACCCAGTACGATTTCTCAACGGATGGCCAAAAAAACCAAACCAACGTCACCATTGGAGGGAGTTCAGAAGAAGAGAAGCGAATCTGCTGACTCCTATAACCTTGGTAAGATCAACGACCTGCTTCTGGAAATCCGTAGCGAGCAGACGAACTCCAGGGAGAGCATGGAGGCCATCATCCAGCAAATTGGTTCGAAAATGGAAGGCATCATGGCGGAAAACTTGAAGATGAAAAGACAATCGACAGCTTGGAGAACCGTCTGTCCTCGCTTGAAGTACGGCACGGAACTCTGACCCCAGATTCCGTACAGCCCGTACAGTCTACACCAGCCTGGACTGTCATGGAACCGCCCGCAGACAAAGTCGTTGACTTCGTTGCAGTGGTGCAGGAGGAAGTCGACAAGCAACAGCGCAAGAACAGCATCATTGTACGTGGCCTTCCTGAGGTAGATAATGAGCAACTCTTGCAGCAATGCGGCAAGACCCTCCACGTGGAACCATCCCTCATCCAAGTTGTTGAGAGGATTGGAGAACCTCTCAAGACTGTCACGCCCGGTGCAGCTGGGGCCACCGCTGCACGTGGATATCGCCCAGTACGAGTACAACTGAGAACTGCGGGTTCGAAATCTGACACAAGCGCCGCTTCGATTTGAAAGCTGATGATGGAGCTCCTCTGTATGTCGGGCATGATCTGACTCGCAAGCAGCAACAAGACAGACGGTCACATGTAGCAACGTACAAGGAACTGCGCCGGCGAGGCATCAAGTGCTCTCTGCCGTTCGATGCAATTCTCATGGAGGGTCGACCGATCTCTGACCAAGAAGTCCAACGGCTCCTGTCGGATTCAACAGCCTAGGATCACGGGGGGTCTCCTAACCACCATCAGTGTCGAACTACCACAGACGTGCAGCCACCACTCTCCCCTCCTCCATCACCAAACACGTGTAAGTTACCCCACACTAGCCTTAACGTACTGATAGCACCAGACCCACCTACGGCAAGCTACCACACCATTGCTCATATCAACATATGTAGTCTTCGCCATAAAGTACACCACATCCATCGCCTCTTGTGTGCACATAAAATTCACATCTATTAACGAAACGCATCTTGATAGCAGTATACCTGACTCCAGCGTGCATATTCCAGGCTATAATCTGTACCGCAGAGACCGCGATTTACATGGTGGTGGAGTTTGCATTTACGTCCATTCTGACATTCACTCAGTGAGAGTACCAGTGGCTGACTCAGGAGTGGAGTGCCTGTTTGTCCGTGTATGTATTAGCGCTACACCAAAGGCCACGGAATTGGTTGTGTGCAGTGTGTACCGTTCACCCAGTACTGCTGTTAATTTTTGGGACATGTACAGCCAGCATCTTGACGCCGTAACCCGCAGCGACTGTAGACTTATTGTGCTTGGAGATTTCAACATTGATGTGCTACACCCCACACCCACTAGTAACCATAATTATAAGCACCTGCTCAACTTGTGTGCAGAGTTTCACCTACACAATGTTGTGACCACGCCAACTCGACTGGCCAAGACATGCCTTGACTTGGCATTAGTATATGCCACTGCACCACATCGTGACACAACTGTGGTATGTGTCGATGGTATCAGTGACCATGACCTTGTCCTCAACCAGTTCGCATACACGGTGCCACTGCATGCCAAGTCAGCCTCTCCGATCTACAAGGTTATCAGGAAGCCTCGTGTCCACGAGGTAGACCAGGATACCTTGCGAGTAGACCTGGAAGGGCAACTGCTGTCTTCCCACTGTGCAACTGATGTCAACGAGATGGCAAATAGTCTAGCAACCGCACTGACCACAACCTATGATAAACTCTGCCCCATACGCCGTGTTCGCCTGCCGTCCTTCACGAAGCCCAAGCCTCAACCCTGGTTAACCCCTCACCTGCGATACCTTCTGCAGCAGCGCAAGCATTTCCACAGAAAGGTCCGGTTACATCCCTCGGATCAACAGCTAGTGCAACAGTATCGAGCCGTGAGAAGGGCAGGGACACTCCTCAACAGGCGCCTGCAGTCAGAGTACCTCAAGCAGCAATTTAGAAATATGAAGCGTGATCCCGTGGACAGTGGTCCCTCCTAAACAAGTTATCTGGCCGAGCCATTGTAAAGTCTACTCCCGCCGCACCACTTCCAGAACTCACAGATACGTTTGCAGCAGTTGTTCATGACCCAACCCGGCCACAACCACTGCAGATACCTGCTTCGACAGATGCTACCACAACGAGCACCCTGACTGATTTCACCTTAGTAAATGCAGAGACAGTTATGGACATACTGACCAATCTTAACTCCTACAAGTCTGCTGGTTCGGATGGCATTCCTCCCTGCATGTTTAAGTCATGTAAGGCGTCCATTGCCGCCCCGCTAGCGTCAATTATCAACCAGTCTCTCCGCTCGGGTGTGTTTCCTACAGCGTACAAGCACGCACATGTCTGTCCTCTATTCAAATCCGGAGACAAACTGTCAGCTACAAACTACCGTCCCATATCTCTGTTGCCACTTGCCTCCAAGGTATTGGAGAAAATCGTTCATCGACAGGTTGTGGAGTTCTTTAGTGATCACAATGAGCTTTCTGCCCTTCCACCGGAGCAGTTTGCATATCGCTCCAACCACAGCTGTGAGGATGCCCTTGCTCTCTGCATTGATAGATGGGACCGAGCATTGGACGATGGTCAACGATGCGCAATAGTGTTTGCAGACATGAGTAAGGCATTTGACCACGTTCAACATCAGCAGTTAGTCCATGAGCTGGCTGATGTTGGGTTACGGGGCACTGTATTGCAGTGGTTTGCAGATTATCTGTCACGCCGCAGTCAACAAGTAATAGTCAATGGCGAGCATGGTGAGACTGTGCCTTGTACCAGGGGCGTCCCGCAAGGGTCGGTCCTGGGTCCCCTGCTCTTTTGCATTTATATTCGCAAGGTGCCGGAAATTCTCAAGCACAGCATGTCACAACTCTATGCTGATGACATTGCCTTCTTCATCATCGGACTGGACCTTCCTGCTATGTTACAGGATCTCCAGGACGATCTAACTGCCCTGGAGGTCCATTTAGATCTGAAGGGGCTCATCATGAACCCCGACAAGACGCAATTTCTAATCCTGCAGCGGTCACGCCTGCCAGCAGCGCAGTTGCCACAGCCATTGACCTGTAAAGGAAAGGCTATTACCCCTACGAGCACTGCCAAATACCTTGGTTTATTGATAGACGAGCATCTCACCTTCCAGCCACAGGTCCATAAATTGTGTAACTCGGTTTTTGCTAAAGTTGCTGCTTTCCGACATGGCCGTAGAAATTTACCAAATGATGCAAAGCGAACATTCTACTTGTCTATTATTCAGTCTACCCTAGACTATGCCAGTAATGCTTAACTACATTGTTTAAGCACAACTCTGTACAATAGGATTGTGACCGTTAGTCACATAGCAATGAAGAGAGTG